AGCTGTACTGGAAAAGGAGCAACCGGGACTAGAACCCGGCACCCATAAGGGATGCCGGCACCACAGGCGGTGGATTAACCAAGTGAGCCACGGCGTCGGCCCCCCTCACTTACTTTTGTCCAGCTACATCAGCTTTCTTACTGTTCCTCAAAAACACTAAGTTTATTCCTTTGTCAAGATCTTTGTATCTGCTGTTCAACTTGTCTTCCCTGGAATATTCTTCATCTCAACCTGTCATGGCTTACTGTTTCACATTAGGTGGATCTTTGCTCAAATGTCACATTAGCATATAGACCTTACTCTCTTGACTGCTTAGTTAAAAAAAAAAAAAAAAAAAAAAAAGACTATCTACTTGCCCCTAAACCCATTATTCTCTATCTCCTACTTTGTTTTATTTTTCTCCAAAGCAGTTTATAATCATCTGAAATTAAACCATCTGCTTACTTATTATTTATCTCCAAAATCAGAAGAAAAGCTGTTTTATTCAGTATTATATCAACAGCAACTAGACTAGAGCCTAGAACAAATTAACTGTTTAATAAATATTTGGTGAATAAAGGAGTAGAATGTATAGTACAAAAAAGAAATTATAAACACCAGCTACAGCAACTAACTACCCACTGCATAAAGGTAGACTTTTTTTTTTTTAAGAATTATTTATTTGAGAGGCAGAGTTACAAACAGAGAGAGGGAGAAACAGAGAGGAAGAGGTCTTCCATCTGCTGGTTCACTCTCCAAATGGCGGCAATAGCCAGGACTGTGTTAGGCCGAAGCCCGAAGCTTCTTCTTGGTCTCCCATGTGGGTGTTGGGTCCAAGCATTTGGATCATCTTCCACTGCTTTCCAAGGCCATTAGCAGGGAGCTGGATGGAAGTAGAGCAGATGGGACTTGAATTGGTACCCATATGGGATGCTGGCGCTGCAGGCAGAGGCTTAACCTACCATGCCACAGTGCAAGTCCCAAAGGTAGACTTTGGCTTCTACCTGTATTTCCTTATTTGCTGAATCATTAAGTATGTATGTGTTCAAAATTAACCTCTTCCCTTAGCTTTTCTTTTTTGCTACGATTGTATATAGAATATATGGGGGTTGGTTAAATTTCCTCTTTATTTAATAAATTGACAAAAGTAGAGAGGAGTAAATATAACTCAAATATCTTAGAGTTGAAACTAAATGCATTAACCAGATCCTTTGGAGAAGAGTAATATTTCAGTTTTACATGGAATAAATTTCATTGTGTGGTTGGAACACTTTTAAACTGCATCCTTAAGAAAAAGATGAAACCATCCACTGGGTAGCCAAAGACCACACTATTATTTTGCTTATCGAACTTCCATTTTTCTTTTTTTAAAATTTTATTTATTGATTTATGTATCTGAAAGGCAAAGTGACAGAGAAAGAGAGAAAGAGATCTTCCATCTACCAGTTCACTCCCCAAATGGCTAAAATGGCCAGGAGAGTGGAACTCTATCTGGGTCTCCCACATGGGTGGCATCTTCTGCTGCTTTCTTAGGCACATTAGCAGGGAGCTGGACAGGACTCGAACTGGTACACGGATAGGGGATACTGGAATCAGAGGCAGCAGCTTAACCTTCTGTACCAGAACAATGAACCCCATTTTTCTTTCTTCTATAGTAGCCTCCTAATTTCCCTTTGAGAAATACTGACTCCTCATACTCATGCATATGAGAATGTCAACCAAAGTATCTTCTACTCTTTGAGGCAAGAGGTCACATGACTCTACCTGGAACAATCAGACCCTCATATCTGGACATTTGATTCTTGTATACAGTGTTACAAAAATATGAGAAAATGGATAATTTGATCCAAAATTTTAGTGGTACTTTAAAGAGAGTGGTCATTAGCTCTGGTTCTAGATTCACCTGTTCCTTAGCTTGTCTTTCAATTTTATAAGCTATTCTCTGTCTTTTCCTAATGAAATTTGTTTAGTTAGCCAACAAAAGTACCCTATATAAGACACTCTATCCCTTATTTTTTTTTTTTTAAATGTGGATGGAGTGAGCATTTAGCATAGCAGTGACATGAGTCAAGATGCCCATGAACCACTTTAGAATGCCTGAGTTTCATTCCTGGCTAAGCTCTGCCTTGTGATTCCAACTTCCTGCCAATGTAGACCCTGGGAGGCAGCAATTGACAGCTCAAGTAACGTGTGCCCGACCACCCTTGTGAGAGGCCTAGATGAGTTATTGGCTCTCAGTTCTGACCCTGGCTGTAAGGGCTTGCAGCCTCAGTTGTTGGGGGCATTTGGAGAGTGAACCAGCAGATGGGAGTTCTCTGCCCCCTATCTCTGCCACTCAAACAAAAAATATATATAATATAATAACAACAAGTAGACAATGCTAACATATTGATACAATAATTAAATGAGATGGTCATTCATGTATTCGAATGTTTGAATCTTTCTACCAGGCTTTGAAGGGATACAGAAAAAGAAGATATGGGACCAGTGCTGTGGTGTAGCAGATGCCTGCAGTGCCGGCATCTAATATGAGTGCCAGTTTGAGTCCCAGCTGCTCCACTTCCAATCCAGCTCTCTGCTATGGCCTGGGAAAGCAGAAGACCCAAGTACCTGGACCCCTGCTCCCACGTGGGAGATCCAGAAGAAGCTCCCAGCTCCTGGCTTCAGATCAGCACAGCTCCAGCTGTTGTAGCGATTGGGGAGTGAACCAGCAGATGAAAGACCTCTGTCTCTGCCTCTCCTTCTTTGTGTAACTCTTTCAAATTAATAAATCTTTAAAAAGAAAAAAAAAATGAAAGGGAGGAGTAAAAGTGTGAGGGCCATGACATACTCAATGGAGAGGTCATCTGGATCTCCTGTAAAGTGATGAAGTCTTTGATAAAAGCAACATTCCCTTCATTGTATTAAATTGAGTCATATGAAATTGGCATATGCAGCCATATTTGAAATATAAAAGTAACAATTCCATAGGGTTTTACCCAACAGTAGAAAGGAAGCAGGAGAAACCAACTGTAAATATAAATAGATTTACAGATTTAGTGGTGGGAACTGGAAGAAGCGTCTGTTTTATTTGCAAGTAAAATGTTTAGAATACCCAATAGTGTATTTAGGTATAAATTACTCTTAGTTATAAATTCATGGAGTTTTTACTCCTAAAGGATTTTGTATGAAGAAATAATGACCCAGGGCCAGTGCCATGGCATAGTAGGCTAAGCCTCAGCCTGCGGCACTGACATCCCATATGGGCACAAGTTTGAGTCCCAGCTGTTCATCTTCCAATCCAGTGCTCTGCTAAGGGCCTAGGAAAGCAGTAGAGGATGGCCCAAGTGCTTGGGCCCCTGCATCTACAATGTGAGACCTAGAAGAAGCTCCAGGCTCCTGGCTTTGGATTGGCTCAGCTCCAACCATTGCTACCATTTGGTGAGTGAACCAGCAGATGGAAGACCTTTCTGTCTCTCCCTCTCATTGTCTGTAACTCTGCCTCTCAAATAAATGAATGAATCTTTAACAAGAACAACAACAACAAATTTGACCCAGGACCCAATGTTGTGGCATAGCAGGTAAAGCTACCTGCGATGCCAGCATCCAAAATGGACACTAGTTCGTGTCCTGGCAGTTCCACTTCCCATCCTGCTCCCTGCTGATGGCCTGAGAAAAGCAGAAGATGGCCAAGTGTTAGGGCCCCTGACACTCACATGGGAAACCCAGAATAAACACTAGGCTCCTGGCTTCAGCCTGGTCCAGCCCCAGCTCTTGCAGCCATTTGGGGAGTGAATCAGCAGATGAAAGATCTTTCTCTGTAACTCTTTCAAATAAATAAATATTTTTTAAAAATTGATCTTTTTTTTGGATATTCTTGTTGCTAATTGGCAAAGAGGATGGGTTCCCCAACATTTAATCCCCTCATTTGTTATCTTACTGTACAACTTAAAACTTCCAAATAATGGATTTTTTTATCCTTAAAAATATTTAAAGGACTAACATAGCCAATATAGAATTAGGGTAAAAAGAAAATCTTTGTCAATTTTTATAATACAATAAAAATAGAAATCATAAACCATTTGAATACTGGGAGCAAGCAGACAGGGAAAATACCAAAGCCTTATGGTAACTTTTGAAATACTGTTAGGGGCCGGCACTATGGTGCAACAGGGTTGAGCCATTGCCTGTGATGCTGACATTCCATATTAGAGCACCAGATGGAGTCCTGGCTGCATGGCTTCTGATCCAGCTCCCTGCTAATGCAACTGGGAAAGCAGTGGAAGCTATCCCAAGTACTTTGGCCCCTGCCACCCATGTAGGAGACCTAAATGGAGTTCCAGGCTCCCAGCACAGTTCTGATGGTTGTGGCCATATGGTACCAGCTGATGGAAGATCGCCTCTCTCTCTCCCTCTCTTTTTGTCACTCTGCCTTTCAAATCAATATATCTTTAAAAAAAAGTTCTAAAATGTAAAATACTGCTTTTCAGAATATTGCCTCATTACCATATTCAGCGACTACTGCCACATTCATAATTATTTTGTAAGGATCTAGAGCAGATCATTAGATTTAAGAGCCAATTCTGCAGTATTACTATGGGTGAAGTTCTAAATCTAGTCTCAGACTAGAGCTATCCAATGGACAGCCGCTGCTGTGGCTCTGGGCACTGCTAACAATGTTTTAGCACACCACAATCAGCACAACTCAAAGCCTGGGTAGCTGCATCCAGATTGCAGAGCCAATGATATAAGGGAGACTAACTACCAATTTCTGGCATTTTCATTCTGTAGAAAGAGGAATATCTGCCTCAAAACCAAAACTGAAAGATAAGAAATTCCCCAAACACAGGATGAGGATTTGTATTCTTAGTATTTTTAAAAGACCAATGAGATTTGACTATGATAATTTTTATAGGCAAATGATGAAGATATTTTAGGGTGCTGAGAAGAGTCAAAGTGAACTTTCAAAAGAGTCATAAAAGTCACATCTAACACTGCTATATATAAATCTCTAGTATCAACAAAATAAATTATCATCTTACCTTGTAATAGCGGAAGTAGTCTCGCTCTTGCAATTTTTTTATTTTGGGGAAGATTTTGTAGGTGTTGAAGTTATCAATGCTGTCAATATCACACAAACAATCACCCAGAACTCCAGTGACCTAGAATACACACATTCATTTCTATATATTAAAATCTGTAAACTGCTGACACTTCAGGCTTAAAATAATTTATTTATTCAAATTAGCCAGTATTTGCTAAATAAGATATACAACAGTAAAGCAGTGACATTTTATTGAGATCAATGAAATCTGAAGAAAAGATCAAGTATATCCATTCTGAAGAATGAACCATTCTTGTTAAGTGTCCAAGAAGATATTAAATTGTCCTTTCTCTGCCTAACCATATATAATCCAAGCACCCACTAGAATGCTAAAGTAATCTCTTCCTAGATTAACCTTGAAGTCATAGACTGTAATATTATAGTTCTAGTAGCCCATCTTTCATCTAGTCTACCATTTGTGGAACACTTATTTGACAGTCACAGCGTTAAGAGCTTTACATCTGTTATCTTACTTATTCTTTAAAAGTATCCATGATGGGGTCCAGTGCTGTGGAATAGCAGGTAAAGCCACTTCCAATGCTGGCATCCCATATGGGCACCAGTTTGAGTGTCAGCTACTCCACTTTCAATCCAGCTCCCTGATAATGCATCTGGAAAAGCAGAAGATGGCCCAAGATCTTGGGTCCCTGCACCCACATGGGAGATCCAGATGAAGCTCCTGGCTTCAGCCTGATCTGGCTTCAGCCTGGCCCAGCCTGACACTGTGGCCATCTGGGGAGTGAACCAGTAGATGGAAAATCTCTCTGTCTCTCCCTCTCTCTGTAACACTAACTTTCAGATAAATAAATAAATCTTAAAAAAAAAAAAAAAAAGTATCCATGATGGGTAGGGATTTGGTCTAGCAGTTAAGAGGCCCATATCCCATATTGGATTGCCTGGGTTTTGTTCCTAACTCCAGCTCCAGATTCCAGTTTCCTGCCAATGTAGACATGGGGAGGCAACAGGTGATTTTTCCGGTTGTGAGAGACCTGGATTGAGTTCTCAGCTCCCAGCTTAAGCTAGGCCCAGTTCTGGCTGATCTGGGCAGTTGAATAAACCAGTGGATAGGGGCATCTGCTCTCTATTTAAAATATTTTTTAAGTATCCTATGAATAATGTACTATTAAACCCCCTTTAACATATAGGGAAATTAAGGTTTAGCAAGCTAAAATTATTTTTCCAAAATAGAAATGGAAGTTATTCCCAAATCTATCAGACTTTAAAAACCACGGTCTTAGCCACTACTCAAAGTATACATTAAACCAAGAAAAGAAACTTGTAGTCACAAAGCAAATTCAGAGTTCAAAATTTCCATAAAACATTCTTCAGCTGAAAAGAAAGTAGAATCATTGATTGTTATGCAACTTAGCTGAATTTTCCAGAAATCATCCTGAGTGGGGAAAAAAGCCAATTCCAAAAGGTTACATACTGTATGACTTATTTACAGAACTTTCTTAAAATGAAAACTCTTAGAAACGGAGAGCAGATTATTAGTTACCAAGGCTTAGGAACTGGTGAAGAGAATGAGAGCTAGAGTAGGGGAATGGCGTCAGAATGTAGTAGCATGGTTAAAAAAAAAGCAACAAGGGGAATTGTTATGGTAATGAAACTCTTCAGTCACCTTGACTGTTGGGATGGATACACAAACAGACAAAATAATACAGAATTAATAAGCACACACAAATGGGACAAGTAAAACAGGAAATGCGAACCAATTCTATCAATGTCAATATCCTTATTATAAAACTATACAATATTTTTAAGATGCTACCATTGGAATAACTATAAAGGGTACATGGTATTTCATTGTATTATTTCTTACAACTCTGTATGGACTTACAACTAAATTTACATTTTCAATTAAAAACAAGAATGATGTTTAGCCTGTTAAAGATTATTCATGTGGCCCACAGCATGAATACATGCAAGCAATGATCAGAAAACGGAAACCCGTCCTTGCAAATTGTTTTTGTCTTGTTCTTTCTTCCTAGAAGTGTAATTGTGCCCCCAAACTCCCTACAAAAAGCTATATTATCTTGTAACAAAGAACAAAAGATCACTATCAAGAATCTTGGCTCTGGAATTCAGTTTTGCTGTCTTAATTCTTGGGATCCTGTCACTAACTCCTAAATTTCATTCCATTGTTCTCACATACTACTTAATAACTATCCTTAAAAAAAAAAAAGTCAAAAAAAGTTTTAGAAAGTTTTATCTAGTGTTGTTCTTTCTTTTGATTTTTTTTAAAAAAAGATTTACTCATTTATTTGAAAGTCAGAGTTACACAGAGAGAGAAGGAAAGGGAGAAAGGTCTTGCATGTGCTGGTTCACTGCCCAGATGGCTGAAATGGCCCGAGCTGTGACGATCTGAAGCCAGGAGCTTTCTGCAGGTCTCCCAAGGAGTTGGGCCACCCTCCACTGCCTTCCCAGGCTATAGCAGAGACCTGGATCAGAAGTGGGGCAGCTGGGACTCCCACATGGGATGCCAGCACTGCAGGCAGCAGCTTTACTTGCTATGCCGTAGCGCTGGCCTCCTTACGAATTTTTCTTAAAATAAAATATGGTGGTTAAAATCAATTTATCTAAAATATTCCAATTGTGGAAGGGGTTAGGTTATATAAAATTACCATACATATATTTGTGACTTTTAAAGGCTATTATTGAGACACAAACCTGTATACCATCAAAATTTGAAAAAAAAAAAAAACAGAAATGAAATAAATGAAATGCTGCTAGTACCCTTTCAGTTCCTTCTTCCTCCCCTCCATGGAGGTAAAAATAAACCTTTAGTTTTCTTTGTAATGCAACATAGTTTCCTCATTTTAAACTTTAATATTAATGGAATCTAATGTGTGAATTCTTCTGTAATATGCTGCTTTTGCTGGCGCTGACATTGTGACACAGTGGTTAAGCCACCTCCTGCAACAGTGGTATCCCATATGAATGCTGATTCAGGTTCCACTTCCAATTCAGCTTTCTTCTTATGTGCCTGGGAAAGCAGTGGAACATGACCCTCTTTTGCTAACATTTTCTTCTGACTATCATTTCATAAGGATGAGCTTACAGTAGATTGTTTATTTTCCCTATTGTAAGTGTTGTATAATATGAAAATACTACAATTTATTCATTCTATCATTAATAGACATAATGGTAGGCAGAATAATGCCACCCACAAAGATGTCTGTGACGTTAATTCTTAAAATCTCCAAATGGTACTTTACATGCCAACAAATATGTGATTAAATTAAGGACCTTGAGATGGGAGAGCTATACTACATTATTCAAGTGGGACCAATGTAGTTACAAAGTTCTTCAAAAGAAGGAAATTCAAGTCAGAAAGAAACAGAAGATGCTATCCTGTGCTGCTGACTTCCATGATGTAAGAAGAGGTCAACAACCAAATATTACAGAAGGCTCTAGAAGCTTATAAAAGGGAAAGAACAATTCCTTCCTAGAGACTACAGAAGGAATGCAACCTTGCTAACACCTAAATTTTAACCCTATAAAAGCTATCCCCAAAACTACAAATTTATATTGCTTGATGTCACTAAGTTTATGACAATTTGTTACAGCAGAAACAGGAAACTAATACAACCCATATTTAGGTTGTCTGCATATCTAGCTAAGGAATAATGCTATAGGGGCTGGTGCTGTGGCGTAGTAGGTTAAGCCTCCATCTGCAGGGCCAACATCCCATATGGGTGCCAGTTCAAGTCCTGGCTACTTCTCTCCCAATCCTTCTCTCTGCTTATGGCCTGGGAAGGCAGTGAAAGATGGCCCAAGTGCTTGGGCCCTGAACCTGCGTGGGAAACCCAGAAGCAGCTCCTGGCTCCTGGTCCTGATCAGCTCAGCTCTGGCCATTGCAGCCATTTGTGAACCAGCTGATGGAAGACCTTTCTCTCTGTAACTCCACCTCTCAAATAAATATAATCTTTAAAAAAATTTGTGAACATTTGTGTGTGTGTGTGTGTATATATATATATATATATATCCCCTGACATGTACGCAAGAGTTTTTCCAGGTTATATGCTTAGGAGTGGAACTGCTGCTCTAAGTATATGATCAGCTGTTTGAGAGAATGGCAGGCTTATTTCCAAAATAGTTTTATCAATTTACTATCCTACCAACAACAGATAGGAATTACTGTTGAGCCATATCCTTACCAACATCTGATATTAAATCTATGCTTTATTTTTGCCAATCTAGCAAGCATGAAAGTGTATCATTTTTATTTGCACTGAGAATGTATGTTCACATGTTTTATGAGTTTTTTAAAAATATTTATCTGTATTTGATAGTCAGAGTTACAGAAAGAGGGAGAAAGAGTTCATGAGAATCTTCCATCTGATTTACTATCCAGAAGGCCACAAAGACCATGGTTGGGCCAGGCTGAAGCCAAGAGTTTCATCTAGGTCTCCCATGTGGATGCAGGGGCCCAAGTACTTGGGCCATCATCCACTGCTTTTCCCAGCCCCTTAGGGAGCTGGATTGGAAGGGGAAGAGCTAGGATATGAAATGGTGCCTTTATGGGATGCCAGCATTGCTAGAGGTGACTTTATCAGCTACACCACAATGCCAGCCCCTATACTTTTTTTTTTTTTTTTTTTTTGACAGGCAGAGTGGACAGTGAGAGAGAGAGACAGAAAGGTCTTCCTTTTGCTGTTGGTTCACCCTCCAATGGCCGCCGCGGCCGGCGCACTGCGCTGATCCGATGGCAGGAGCCAGGAGCCAGGTGCTTTTCCTGGTCTCCCATGGGGCCATCCTCCACTGCACTCCCTGGCCACAGCAGAGGGTTGGCCTGGAAGAGGGGCAACCGGGACAGAATCCGGCGCCCCGACCGGGACTAGAACCCGGTGTGCCGGCGCCGCTAGGCGGAGGATTAGCCTAGTGAGCCGCGGCGCCGGCCTAGCCCCTATACTTTTGTCAAATGTCTACTTGTTTTTGTTAATTTTTCTATTGGGTTATTTCTTACATACGGATTTGTAGGAATCAATACTGATTCTTCCCTATTCTATTATATTCTCGTGGAACATCAATTAGACATACTAGGCCTTTTTACTA